CATCGTCGTCCCCACGGTCGTCGGCGTCGCCGTCGCGATCGCCGGCGTCGGGACAACCGCGCAACAATCACGGGGAAGCCGCGGGGCAACCGCAGAACAACCAGGGCGCAACCTCGAAACGCCCGCGGGACAGCCGTTGGGCACCCCCAGAAAACTGTTGCGTCGGCGGCTAGGCACGGGTCGTCTGCGCTGGCGGAGGAAGCTAAGGAAACGGGGGCACCGTTGTAGCGAATTGGCCAGCGTGCAAAGGGAAGAGGCGGGACGGACTGGGCGGCCGCGGGGATAGGGGAAACAGCGAGGGCCGCTCAGGCGGGACGGGTCACTCCCTCGGTGGACTGGCGCGGCCAGCCCCGCCGGCGAGGACTGAGGCGGCTGCTGGGCCGGGTTCTAGCGGCGGCGGGGCCCAGCACGGGTACCAGAACGGGTACTGCAAAACAAACGTCAAGAAGCCGCCGGGTAGCACGAACCTCTAGGCTGGCGGGCCGCGCGTCGCCTGTGTGGGTGCGCGGAAGGTGCGGCAAGTAGAGGTGCGCCGAAGGTGGACCGCATCCAGCGAACTGGTGGGCCAGCATGGGGTGGCGGGCGGCAAGACCGGGCCCGGGTCCCCTGCGTGGCGGCTGCAGGCAGCAGCCCAGGCTGCATCGCGGCACGCGGAGGGAGGGACGCGAACAGGGAGGAGGAGCGCCGCGCCTGTTGCGCAGCGCGCTGCGCGGTGGGGCTGAAGGCTGAAGGGGCAACGCGCTGCCGACCAGCAGGCTGTGGCTGTGGCTCCGCGAGAGGCCCCCACTGCCCCGGTGGACAGGGTGGGCCAATCGGCGGGCCAGGGTGGCTGGTAGCTGCCGAGGGTCGAGAGCGGCGCCCCATGGTGAGCAAGACTGTGGCAGGTCCAGCGGCCCCCGCTGTCAGGGTGGCCAGTGTGGGCCAATGGGGGGGGGCACCCACCCGGCGCAGTGAAACTGGAAGTGAGAAAAGCAGCCCCCACGCCCGGGTGGAGAGGGCGGGCCGCGGAGGGGCCAGGGGCGGCCGCTCGCCGTCCTGGGTAGACAGCAGGGGGCGCAGGTGGGCAGGGTGGGCCAGGGATTAGCAGATTAGCACCCAATCGGTGCAGAAAGTGAGGAGGAGGAGGAGGAGGAGGAAGAGGGGGAGGAGGAGGGAGGAGGGAGGAGGAGGAGGAGGAGGAGGAGGAGGAGGAGGAGGAGGAGGATTAGGGGCTCGAGCAGAACGTGGAGGCGGCACGCCGCCAGGGCGGGCAGCGCGCCGCCGCCGGGCGGCCTGCCGGCGGACCACGGGGCGGAGGGGGTGACGAGAGAGCCGCGCGCCGCCGGGGCTGGCGGGCGCGCGGCAAGAAAGAAAGCACACAGGCCACACCCTGCAACAAAGACGACACAAACACGCCACATCGCGCACCATGCAGGCACGGGCGAGCCCCACGGACGGGCGACCACCGACGCCGGTCCGCCATTGGCTCAGGAGTGGGTAGAGTCGGTCGCAGTCAGAGCCTCCAGGGTCGAAACGATGTGCGGGAGTGCCCGATCGAGCGACAGTCCAGGGTGCGCGTCGGGAGTATGGCGGGCGGAAGGCAGGCAGGTGCCGCCTGGGCTGGTCGTTGTTGGGCCAGGCAGGGTCAGTGCGTCGCTTGCCTTTCCCTTTGGGGTCCCCTTTGGGGTCCCCTTTTGGGTCCTGGCCCCTTCCTTTCTCTTGCCTTTCTCCCACTGCAGCTGCTCGAGGCGCCGCACCTGCCTCTCCTGGGCGGCGTTCCATTTGATCCAGACGCCCCGTTCCCTGAAACGACCCCCCTCCTATCCCCCTCCGCGACCTGAGTAGACCACCCAGGCCAGCGGAGGACGTCATAGGAGGCAAGGGTTCTGACGTCGATGAGAGAAGAAACATGATCGACCCACGAAAGTATTCCTCACGCAGCTGGAGCACGATCTCCTCACAGAATGACAACCCCAGACAACACACACTGGGCAGCCTGTGCCACCGTGAGCACACACACACAGGCAGGAAACCTCTGACGCGAGCTGTCCCGAAGCAGGGCAGGACCTCCCCCGCCCGCGCTAAACTTCGTCTCGCCCGCACGCGCGTCAACAACGACATCGACACCGATATCCAGGTTGAGGGCCTCCGTTTCACTTGGGTCTCACCCGCAGCCTCTTATATCTCATGCATATATATATATATACATATATAGTTCTGTATAGTATATATGGCGTGTCGCGTTATAAATGGTGATGTTCGACACGTGAGTTCTGGATGCATGTTTTTCTGGTTCTATCGCTAGTTGTCGCGGAAGCGAGGCGGGACAATCAAATCTCTGGAATCGTGCAGCCTGGCGGCCGCGGCTTGCGGGGCGGGAGCACGCGTCGGGGGCATTTTGCCTTCAATTCTGGACACACTTCACCTGTCAGCAAGGGAACTGCCAAGTCTTCCCAACACCCGCTAAGACCCCTTCACCGATCGGAGGTGTCACTTCCGACTCGCCCCGATCAATCACAGAGCGGCGGGCACAGCGGCACCTCCAGCACACCTCGACCTACCACAGCGTGGCGGGCTAGCCACTCTCCGACCCCATCCGCCGCTCCTTCTGGCCACTTGTAATTCTGGCGTCCCCCTACTGGCGGATTTCGAAAAAGTAGTCCCCGACTATATTTTACTATTTGTAGATATTTCTCCTGTAGCGGGACATGCCCGACTTAATGCTGCCTTCCTCCGACCCTTGTGCATCGCTCCCTGTCCTCCACTATCCTCCCTGCTCCCGAGATCTCTGGAGGTCTGCTCCCTGAGGCCACAGGGAGCCCGAGAAAAGACCAAAACGACCCAAATGAAGGGGCCCTGGGACAAACAAATAAATAGACACAAATAACAGGATTCGGATTCCCAATATTTCCCAACCATCCTGTGGTGTTGGGTCCTCTTGTGAAGAGACGGTGCCCCGCGTCTCCTTCCTTCCTCCTCCTCCCGCTGCCTCCTCCCTCCGCCCACCTCTCCCTCGTTGCCTCTGCTAACGGCGCACCCCTCACACGTTTCGTAGCCCCATAGGGAGCTCCACCTAAGGGCCCAGTGGCGCAGTTCGCATGCGTCTCCCCCACCCAGGACAACCTTTTTCGTGGCCCCATAGGGAGCCCCACCAAGGGCCCCAGTGGCGCAGTTCGCATGCGTCTCCCCTATCCAAAACAACGTTTCGTGGCCCCATAGGGAGCTCCACCGAGGTCCCAGTGGCGCAGTTCGCATGCGTCTCCCCCTATCCAGGACAACGCTTCGTGGCCCCATAGGCAGCCCCACCGAAGGCCCCAGTGGCGCGGTTCGCATGCGTCTCCCCCTTAGGACAGTGTTTCGTGGCCCCATAGGGAGTTCCACCGAGGGTCCCAGTGGCGCAGTTCGCATGCGTCTCCCCCACCCAGGACAGCGTTTCGTGGCCCCATAGAGAGCTCCACCGAGGGTCCCAGTGGCGCAGTTCGCATGCGTCTCCCCCGCCCAGGACAACGTTTCGTGGCCCCATAGGGAGCTCCACCAAGGGCCCCAGTGGCGCAGTTCGCATGCGTCTCCCCCACCCAGGCCAACCTTTCGTAGCCCCATAAGGAGCTCCACCGAAGTCCCAGAGGCGCAGTTCGCATGCGTCTCCCCAATCTACGACAGCGCATCGTGGCCCCAAATGGAGCTCCACCGAAGGCCACAGCTGCACTCGCATGCGTCTCCCCCATCCAGGACAGCGTTCCGTTGCCCCACAGGGAGCTCAACCGAAAGCCCCAGCGCCGCAGTTCGCATGCCTTTCCACCCACCCAGGACAGCGCTTCGTGGCCCCATAGGGAGCTCCACCGAAGGCAACAGTTGCTGCACTCACATGCGTCTCCCCTGCCCAGGATTGCCCTTCGCGGCCCACGAGGATCTCCACCGACTGCGATACTCACAGCGACGGTACTCACAACTGCATGTGTATGGGTCCTTCACCAGGTTAAATTTCCCATGTTTTCTGGGTTCTCGTCTTCCCCCCATTTCCCATATTTTCCTGGGAGTCGACGATGAATTGTGTCTGAATATTTGCTTCTCCTCCTGACCAAACCCTCGATCCTGCATGTCGGGAAACAGCAAAAAGAACCGATACCGCTACCCCCCGGACCTCTCTCGGGGTGCGTTCTGACCGGGATTTCGATGCGAATCCAGCGGTGGCGACGAGGGCCTCCCAGGAGGCACCAAAGAGGGGAAAACGAGGGAAGGGTGGCGGTAAGGGTACCTTTTCCTCCTCTGAGGATGACGCCGCCTCGCTCCGATCTCCCGTGCCGCGCCACCCATGTTCTCCTGCATCGCATCCCCCCTGCGCAGACGGGGGTTCTCCTGAGCTTGGGGGCCGAGCTCCACGGGGTGGCCACGGGAGACGTACTCCGCGCCTGGGCGGCCGCGCAGGAGGGGCAGGTGGCGGAGGTGGGGCGCGAAAAAAGACAGAGAGAGCGAGAGGAGGGGGAAACCTAGATGCGCTCGCGCCTCCTCCTCCTCCTCCTCCTCCTCCTCCTCCTCCTCCTCCTCCTCCTCCTCCTCCTCATTCGACATCCGACCTAGAAGAAACAACGCCATAAACATACATGTTCGGCGTTCCGCGCGTTGATTTCTTGGATCTGACCTGCACCCCCCCCCTTGGCGCGCAAAGCGCGCCAGGGGGCGGCGCCGGAGGCGCCGCCGGGGGGGCCCAGCGCGGATCCAAGAAATCCGCGCGGAACGCCAAACTTGTATGTGTATGTCGCTGCTGTTCTTAGTATTTTTATAATTCGAGTGAGGGGGCCGAACGGTCATTCGTTGTCCCTGGGTGCGTGGCTGAATCGGAAATTCGTAATGAGAACTTCGTTTGAAGGGTAGTTGTGCGTTGTTGTTGTTGCTGTTGTTGAATTCTCACTTCTGAAGAATAACTATTGTTGATCCCCCCCCACCGGTGCATACTGTTTTTTTCTCAATCAAAATGTGCCCCTCGACGCTCGCACCCTGTTTGTTGTCAGGGAAAATATTCCTGCTCAAACTCGGCCCCTGGCCCCTGGGTTACAACAACAACGGCTCCCGCCAGAGACTTCCTTACAATTTAGTCAGGACCCCCGCTTCCGCACGAGACTTTCTCGCATTTTATTCCGGAATCGCGCTCTCGCTTGGGACTTCTTTACAATCTATGCAGGAATCGCTCTCCCGGCTCTCTGGAGTCGCGCTCTCGCTGGAGACTTGGTTGCAACTTACTGAAGAATGGCCTTTCGTTGGAATTTCCTACAATTTGCCCAAACGCCGCGCTCCCGACACCCAGGCACCCACGAGTCGCGCCCGTTATGGCCCCATGTGCATGCCCTCGTGGCCCCGCTGTCGCCATTTGTGTCCCCCTCGCTGTCCTACGTGGCCCAGTTGCTACCCTCAGTGGCCGCATAGTTGCATCCTGTGGCCCCGCATTCTCTGCACTTCGTGACCCCCGCTCGTTCGCGCTCTTCGGGGCCCCATACGCATTCCCTTCGTGTCCGTGCTGTCGCCTTTCGTGGCCTACTTCGTGCCCTGCGTGGCCCTGCTGTCGTTCTCTCTCGCTCTCGCTTTCTCTCGTCGTCGCCGTCGTCGTCGTCGTCGCCGTCGACTTCGACGTCGTCGTCGTCGTCGTCGTCGTCGTCGTCGTCGTCGTCGTGGTCGGTCCCCTGTCCGTACCTTTTGGGGTCGGGTCGACGGTCCGCGGCCGCCCCGCCGATCAGCGCTGCCGCTGGCCAGGCCGACGGTCCGCGGCCGCCCCGCCGCTTGCCGGGGCCCGGCCTGCAGGGGAGAAAAGTATACCCCCCAAAAGGGGTTCGATCGAAGACGAAGAGTGCGGGTATCGAGGGTTTGGGAAATACGCGTTGTTGGACACTCGAGCATATAATGGCGAACGGTCTTAAAACTATTGTGGTTGTTGTTGTTGAATTCCCAGGTCTGAAAAATAAGTATGGTTGATCCCCCCTCACCGGGGCATACTATTTGTTCTCAATCAAAGTGTGCCCCTCGACGCTCGCACCCTGTTTTTCCCAACCATCCTGTGGTGTTGGGTCCTCGTTTTGAAGAGACGGTGCCCCGCGTTCCTCTCCTCTCCTCCTCCTCCTCCCCCTCCTCCCTCCTCCCCCTCCTTGCCTCTGCTCTCGGCACACCTCTCACACGTTTCGTACCCCATAGGGAGCTCCACCGAAGGCCCCAGTGGGGGTGTCCACATGCGGTTCCCCCACCCAGGGCAGCGTTTCGTGGCCCCATAGGGAGCTCCACCGAAGGCCCCAGTGGGGGTGTCCACATGCGGTTCCCCCACCCAGGGCAGCGTTTCGTGGCCCCATAGGGAGCTCCACCGAAGGCCCCAGTGGGGGTGTCCACATGCGGTTCCCCCACCCAGGGCAGCGTTTCGTAGCCCCATAGGGAGCTCCACCGAAGGCCCCAGTGGGGGTGTCCACATGCGGTTCCCCCACCCAGGGCAGCGTTTCGTGGCCCCATAGGGAGCTCCACCGAAGGCCCCAGTGGGGGTGTCCACATGCGGTTCCCCCACCCAGGGCAGCGTTTCGTAGCCCCAGAGGGAGCTCCACCGAAGGCCCCAGTGGGGGTGTCCACATGCGGTTCCCCCACCCAGGGCAGCGTTTCGTAGCCCCAGAGGGAGCTCCACCGAAGGCCCCAGTGGGGGTGTCCACATGCGGTTCCCCCACCCAGGGCAGCGTTTCGTAGCCCCATAGGGAGCTCCACCGAAGGCCCCAGTGGGGGTGTCCACATGCGGTTCCCCCACCCAGGGCAGCGTTTCGTGGCCCCATAGGGAGCTCCACCGAAGGCCCCAGTGGGGGTGTCCACATGCAGTTCCCCCACCCAGGGCAGCGTTTCGTGGCCCCATAGGGAGCTCCACCGAGGCCCCAGTGGGGGTGTCCACATGCGGTTCCCCCACCCAGGGCAGCGTTTCGTAGCCCCATAGGGAGCTCCACCGAAGGCCCCAGTGGGGGTGTCCACATGCGGTTCCCCCACCCAGGGCAGCGTTTCGTAGCCCCATAGGGAGCTCCACCGAAGGCCCCAGTGGGGGTGTCCGCATGCGGTTCCCCCACCCAGGGCAGCGTTTCGTAGCCCCATAGGGAGCTCCACCGAAGGCCCCAGTGGGGGTGTCCACATGCGGTTCCCCCACCCAGGGCAGCGTTTCGTGGCCCCATAGGGAGCTCCACCGAAGGCCCCAGTGGGGGTGTCCACATGCGGTTCCCCCACCCAGGGCAGCGTTTCGTGGCCCCAGAGGGAGCTCCACCGAAGGCCCCAGTGGGGGTGTCCACATGCGGTTCCCCCACCCAGGGCAGCGTTTCGTAGCCCCATAGGGAGCTCCACCGAAGGCCCCAGTGGGGGTGTCCACATGCGGTTCCCCCACCCAGGGCAGCGTTTCGTAGCCCCATAGGGAGCTCCACCGTAGGCCCCAGTGGGGCTGCCCTCATGCGGTTCCCCCACCCAGGGCAGCGTTTCGTAGCCCCAGAGGGAGCTCCACCGTAGGCCCCAGTGGGGGTGCCCGCATGCGGTTCCCCCACCCAGGGCAGCGTTTCGTGGCCCCACAGGGAGCTCCACCGAAGGCCCCAGTGGGGCTGCCTGCATGCGGTTCCCCCACCCAGGGCAGCGTTTCGTAGCCCCATAGGGAGCTCCACCGAAGGCCCCAGTGGGGGTGTTCGCATGCGTCTCCACTACCCAGAGGTAGCGCCGCCGAAAACGATATTCACACTTGCGGTATTCACAGTTGCATATGGTTGGGTCCTTCGCCAGGCTAATTTTTGACAGGGAAAGTCTTAATGTTCAAACTGTGCCCTTGGCCCCCCGGATTACAACAACAACGGCTCCCGCATGAGATTTCCTCCAAATTTACTCGGGACCCCGCTCCGGAAGTCTTCCTCGCAATTTACTCAGGATCGGTACTCCCGCCACTGACTCAGTCGCAATTTAGTCCGGACCCCCGTTCCCATCTGAGACTTCCTAACAATTTAATCAGGAACGGCGCTCCTGCTTGAGACGTCCTCGCAATTGAATCAAGACCGCCTCGCAATTTAATCAAGACCCCCGCCCCCTCCAGAGAATCCTTCACACTTTTTTCAAGAATTGCGCTCTCGCCTGTGACCCCCATGCAATTTATTCAGAAATCGCGCGTCCCCCCGTCGTGGGGTCGCCCGCCCGTCGTCAGGGGATCGCCCGCCCGTCGTGGGCTCCCGCCCAAGACTTCATTCAGAATCGGCGATTTCGCCCAGGATTTCCTTGAACGTTCACGCACCTACCTTCCTGTTCCTCCTCCCTCTCCCTCCTCCCTCCTCCCTCCTCTCTTCCCTTCTCTCTCCCCCCATGCATTCATCCTTATGCCTCTCTGCCCTATCCCCTCTCCCTCCTCTCCCTCCTCCCTTTTCCCTCCCCTCTCCTGCCTCCACCCTTCTTTCTTTCTGTATATATATATGTGAGTTTCCCCTATGTGTTGTTTGTCTCCCTCTTTCTCTCTGTATATATATACATACATATATGTGTGTATTTGCCTTTCGTACATGTATCTCTCTATCAATGTTTATCTCTCTCTCTCTCTCTTTCTCTCTATGTCTCTTCTCTTTCTCTCTATATATATATATCTCTCTCTCTCTGTCTCTCTTTCTTCCTCGCTCTTTCTCTCTCTCTCTCTCTCTCTCTCTCTCTCTATCCATCTCTCTCTCTCTCTCTTTGTGTTTCTCTCCCTCTCTATCTCTCTCTCTCCTATATATATATGTATGTATATGTAAAAATGCTCTCTTTCTCTCTCTCTCTCTCTCTCGCTCTCTCCGCCTCTAATCAACCGCCCCCCTCTTCGCTCCTTCTCTCCTGACGTGTTTCCTCGTCCTTCGTCCCTCCCCCTCCCTTCCTCCCACTCTCCCTCGTTCTCCCCCTCCTCTTTTTGCAGGGACCACACCAATTCCAATGGCGGGCACATGCACGCACACGAAGGACTGTCCGCTCGTTCAGGTTTGCCCGCCTGCCTAAGCCCACCGCCCCCCGCAAAGAGAAATAATCCCCCCAAAAGGGGTGTGATCGAAGACAAAAAGGGCGGGTATCGAGGGTTTGGGAACTCGCTTTGAATGACACGCGGGCAAGTAAGAGCGAACAGTCTTAGAAGGATTGCTGTTGTTGCTGAACTCTCACTTCTGAAGAATAACCCCCCCATTGTCAATGCAAACTGTTGTTTCTCAATCGAAGTGTGCCCCTCGACGCTCGCACCCTGTTCTTTTAGCAGGAAAAGCCTTGAGGCTCAAACTGCGCCACTGGCCCCCGGGTTACAACAACAAGAGTTCCCGTCGGAGACTTCCTTCCAATTTAGCTCCCGCCCGAGAACTCCTCGCATTGTATTCAGGAATCGCGCTCTCGCGTGGGACTTCCGTACTATGTATTTAGAAATCGT